TAAAGAATTGAAACTTTTACAGTAAACTGTCCATATGTATGGTCAATATTGTGCGAAAATGACAAGTTCATTGCTTTTCTAGCAAGAAAGTTATAGTGCTCCAAATTTAAACCTTTGCTATACGTTTAACTTGCATCGGCTTTGCTTCCTCATCACTATCTGAGTCGCTGCTACTGTCACTGATCTCGGTTGTTCCGATGTCCTGCACCCTGCTACATTTGATTGATAGTCCTTAGCAGCGGCACCCTATGTAGCATGTGACTGCCTTCTTAGCACATGAGCAGTTCTTCTTGCACCCCTTAGCACATCCGCACGATATTGCTTTCTTCATCGACACGTGCCAGGCTGGGTAAGTACATGGAACGGAAACCGCATGCTGGCCATCCAAAGTCCACCCAAATTTTGTCCAGGGTGAGATTTGTGGCTTGGCAAAGTGCGCAGTCTTTTCTATGATCGTTGCAAGGGCAGCCCTTTTTACGTGCAGAAGGAATGCGTCTTCTGTGGGGGCAAGAGCTTTAGAAAAGTAGATCTGTTGTTCAAAAACTTGTATGCCCTGAGCTTGCCCAAATCAGACTCCTGGAAGTCATCAGCTGCTGATGTGTAAACAGATGTGGTGATGGTTCTTGCCTGCTTGAGGAGGTCTTCTGATACGATGTCAGTAGGGTTCTCACCAAACTCTTCAATCATGGGTATGTCGAGACTCAAGCTGCATTTGAACCATGCCTTCTTGCCGGTGAAGTAAGGATAACTCGTAGTGTCTCTGCTACTCAGGCTATGGATGAAGGGCATTGCACGACACTGTAAAGTTTCCAGTGTCACCACAATTTCAAGGATTGGTAGGTATGTGTTCTGGGCTGTCATCACCCATAGTTCTGGTAGATTTCTCAGGTGTGTTGCTCCATACTGTAGACACATGGTAATAATGTCTGTGTCATTGGCGTGAACAATACTACTCTTTCAACTCTGTCATTCTGGACACTGTACAGAGTGTGCAGAATTATCCTAGTATCAGCCTTAAATCGCTACTCTACTCATATTGAGGTCCAGCATGCAAGTCGAATCCACACTCTTGAGAAGATCCAGCATTCAGGTAGAATCACTACTCCACTTTAGGGTGACCCAGTGCACAGGCGGAGTAGTCTCTATTCCTTCCCAACAATTCCCAGCATGGCCGCCGCGCTCTCCTCGGTGAGCTTGATGAATCGCTCGTCGCGCGGGCTGAACATGTGGTATTCACCCGTCGTCAGGTTGAACCACCACGCGTGCAGGTTAACGAGCTCGTCACCCAGGTGCGTCTGCAGGAAGCTGAGACTCGAGATGTTCTCCATCTGTTGCAGCACGTTCACCTGCGACAGCTTGTCCATCTCGCTCAGCTCGTGCTCAGGGTCGATGAACGCACGGAAGCTGCGGTGCCGTGGCGTCACGGAAAACTCGAGTGGGCCCTCCATGTTGGGCGAGCGCAGCAGCTGCTGCATCTTCATGATCGTCGGCACCGCGTAGCTGCGCAGGTAGGTGTGCAGCGGGCCCTCGCGCTCGCCCGCAGCGACCGTGCTCACGACGTCGTAGAGTGCATTCATCGCCTTGCAGTCGGAGTGGCCCGTCACGATGACGTTGCCGACGTTCGAGCGCACGCAGCAGAGGTCGAGTGCCGCCGTCTCGCAGCTCGGATGCTTCCACAGGTCCTCGCCGCAGTGGTCGCTGTGCGGCACGAGGTTGCCCGAGTTACGGATCACGTACATGTCACCGACGTGCGTCTGCGTCGTCATCGACGGCTGCAGCCGGCTGTCCATGCACGTGATGTAGAGTGCCTCTGGGTGTATGTGGCCCGGGTTCTCACGGAGGGCGCGCACGTCGCGAGCGACGTCCGCCCGCCGCGTGCTCTGGTAGCGCAGCACACCCTGCATGATGCGTGAGATGCCCTTAGACGTCATCTTTCGTCGTGGTTTTTCCTAGTAGTTATGTCTGGAACATCAAGAGGGGTGATGCATCAAACGTAGGTTCAATGAAATGAGAAGCAGTTTAAAGAAAAAAAATTGTGAGCGTTGAAGACTCGCGAATAGTGAAAACTTGCTTCGAATAGTTAGTAGGTACATGAGCCATGTTTTTACAGATTGAGCTAAAATTTACTGCTCATCCTGGCACTTGAACTTAGTCTTTGACGTCAAAGAGCTTTTGGGTTTATTGTTCTCTTCCCCAACCCTGGAATGCACATGCACAGAACAATTCTGTGACAATTTAAAGGAACAGTGCAACCACGACACGCGCCAGAAGAATGCTAGTCGACTCCTAGAAGTCACCGAGAAACATCACGTAAAACAAACTTTGATGCTACGTGATGGAAAGAATCTACATATATCACGATGCCTCTTGGCTGACCTGTAAACATTGACCACTAGCCAGCCTTGAAGCCAAGCTCCTCGCCTGTGGTTTTACATAATCAATGTGACCCCACAGTTAGTTCAGTGTGCACACTTGCCACACATGACCTGTACGTAGTCTACTGCATTCCTTTCCAGCTAAAATCAATAATAAGAGCCACCCTAACCTTCACCTCAACTGGCCATGACCACCAGTGCCGAGTACAGTAATAAACATGTTTATGTGAAACCTCAATAGCTACACTATAAATTACAACATAGACTCAATGTCTCATTATCCCAACTGGGTAAAACAAACACACACTCAATCGTATGTCCTTTACTTTGCGCACGGAGATCTACATGCATCTGATTTTTGAAGCCCCCCCCCCC